ATCCCGTCATTAAGTGTACGCACAATATTTAAATTGCTAATTGGTAAAGTTCCTACCTTCTCCTCAGTAGTGGACAGACTCTCCCCCACACCGTCTTCAGCACAGACTCCTTGAGAGCGGGGCTCCCCCAGATGTACAGTCCGGGGGTGCTGGTTGCAGTGAACCTTACCAGCAGGCCAAGCGGATCATTGGCGTTGTTCCTGAACATATATCGTGACCCGGTGGCGTGAACCACGATAATATAGTACAGCTGAGGAGACCAGAGCGTCAGGAAGCAGACTACCACCACGATAATGAGTCTCAGGGACTCTTTCTTGCTGTCTCTCTCTGGACCCGGCGGCTCACGAGCAATCTGGTATTTAGCAATGAGATAGAGTTTTATGGTAAGAGCCACTTTTGCGGTTACTATCACTTGAAAAGATAGAGTTGCATATGCATACATTCTTGTAGACTGTTCAATTGTAATGTGGTATTGAATTGTTATGAACAAGTAAGTATAAGCCCAACAGAAAACGCAAATTCCTATAACTACATTCCTAGTTACATACCGATTGTAAGTATAAGGATAAGCTACAGCAAGGAATCGGTCCAGCTGTGCAAACATGATGGTCCAAATATTGACACCCCGTAGCGAAGGCACTATTAAATAGGTACCGTTCCTTGGCGGATAGCTCTCGTACACATCAAACAGACCGGTGTAGTAACCACCTAACCCGGTCAGTGTGTCACTTATGCTGGTGTTCAGCATGAAAATAAAGCGATTTTGTGCTCGTAGTGACTTTTTATTAAGAATACCCAACACAACCGAGCCAGCCACTAGAAAAGAACTCGTACAAACTAGTAGATTGATTAAAAAAATGAAGTAGTCAGCGGCGCTACTGAAGTCCACCGCTAACGGCACAGTGAGGTTCAGCGCAACCATCGCGTCGGAAAATGAGCATCTGGCGATGCTGCTGTAGTGTTTAAGTAGATGAACACGCCGGAGGAGATGCCTCGTGTTT